GGTGGAACTGTTATATGTGTGGGGTATTTTGGTCTATATTGGTGATCTAATCGAACGCGACAAAACTGACATATCAGTTCAGGATGTTTGGAGTTTGCATCCCTTCAACCCTCTTTATTTATTTATTTATTTATTGTCATGGATTTTTTTGTGTTTGTGTGTTTGTTTTTCTTTACTTTATTTCTTTATTTACTTTTTTAATATTAGTTTTTTTAGAAGAACATGCTCCCAAGCAGTCATAGGATGAATCTACCTGACTAGCTCGAGGGTGGAAGGTATGCTCTCATTCACCTAAAGTGTGGGACGTTATGTGTGATGGGATGACTCCCCTAGAAGCAGTGTTAAAAAAACAAGAAAAAAATAATATGAAACTAGATGTTGAATAAACAAGAGTGAAGTTGTGCTTAATGAATAATTTTATGCCTTGGCAAAAAAATGAACTTACTTAGGAGTTTTCTAAATTCATTAAGCATAGACTAGATACAATCACGCACACACACTGACAAAGGATCCTAACCAAGAGAAAAAGCACTTGGCTTCTCAGTTAGTTTATCATGTTGAGGCAAAACTTGTTGCTTAGGGCTAAAATTTTAAACCACTTGACGGTCATGATTTAGACTTTGCCATAGCATTTCATTTTTTTTATTGCTCATTATCCATTGTTTAAGGACAAGCAATGACTTAAGTTTGGGGATGTGATAACTCCGTAAAAATACTATATTTTAGGCTTTTTTACTTAAGTTATTGATTGTCTAAAAGCCATTGACATAGCCTTTTTCTACATATAGTTGCATTTAGTACATATTTTCATGTGGCAGATAAGTTTTACCGAGACAAAGTTTATTTGGCTAAATTGATGCTGCTGAGGAGAAAGGTTGTTTGTTGGTTGCGATGATGCAGAAAATAACTAAGGACAAATTCATTTGTTGAGACAAATTAATTTGCTAGGGCTAGTGGAGCAAAAGACGATGACATTGAGGAACAAATTTTCTTACCAAGGCGAGTTTTATCTTGCAAGTCTAATGGAACTGCTAACGTCACTTGGCCAGTTGGCCTATTCACCTCATGTGTAATCATGCCCTCATCATGGAAATTGACCACTACCAGCTGCTATGTTATTCACAAAAAAAGTTTAACTTCAAGGGTATTTAAGGAATTTCCAAGGGTACTAAACCCTAGAAATTCCCACTATAAATACCCCATTATAACTCTTCATAAAGTGTTCAGAAACATATAGAAAAAATACCCTAGCCTTGAAAAAATGTAACTGTGGCGTCCTTTTTTTCACTGTTCCCCACTCATATGTCCTTGGTGCCCTCCATAGGCAGGCTTCATCGGAGCAGCGACCATACCCTCGAGAGAGGCAGGTGCACTAGAACAGTCATGGTGATTGTTTAATGTTACGGAAAATCTCTATTCTGGGAGTTTTTCTTCCCCTTTTTCTTCATGTTTTATTTTTCTAAAGGCTTGTACTTAATGAATATTTTTGGGATGATGTTAACCACATCATAAACTGTTTTATTTGGTGTTGGGTGATGCTTTAATGATACTTTATTCAATTGTTAAATAATGTTTAAGTTTGTTTATGCTAAGTGTTGTTTTGTTCACTGTTTTAATATTTTGCCTTGGCACTGTAAGAGCTTTTGAGAGATTTCCTGGTGCCACGACAAAACATTCCTAGTCTTTGTAAGAGCTTTTAAGAGATTGTCATTTTTCTAGGAGTTGATACCTAATATCGAGAGAGTTAGGTTAGATCAACGTGAACAATGGAACTAATCCGGGATAGGGAGGTTTTAATCTTTAGAGATAAGGATAGGGTTGCATTCGACTAAAAAGGGTAAATACTTGAGTAAGATAGGCGAAAAGCTACAGTTTACACTAAGGGGTATTGTCACATTAATAGTTTGACAAACCAAGGGTTGTAGTTCACACCGAGTAGTATTTCCATAGCAAAAGTCATAGAATACTTTAGTAAATCTTGTCGGGCAGCATAAGCATAGCATACTAGATAATCCTAGACATAGAATAATTTCTCGTCGTAGCAAATCCAACCCAAGTGCTCTTTTAGAAGTCTGATTGTGTGAGGTTGTCAGTCTATTTATAGGGTTTTGACAACTTTATCCTTTACAACTTTTATTTGTTTACCATTGCATATTTTTCTTGTCACGACAAAACTTTTCTGTTCACTTCACTTTCAATTTTTTTTGCCTCGGCCAAACTTTTTTCTATATGTTCATACCATTTGCCACTGCATATTTTTCTTGTTTATATCATTAGACTTAGATACTTAGGATTAGTTAGTGACACCTATTCCTAGATGTAGCAATCTTTTAAAAGCCCTGCAATCCCTTTGGAAATGATACTCATTCACTACTATATTACTTGCATCGATTGTGTATACTTGCACATATTTGTGTGCCAAAAAATACACATTTACACGCAATCAATACAAAAAGAGGAAAATCCTCCATTAACACCCAAACTTTTATACTTATCTTCTCATCATATCATTCTAGGAGCTCCATCTCATCAAACCATACCCGGAGCATCTCATCTCTACTTTTTCAGAATGAGATACAATTATCCACAGATTGGTACTGAATAACTACTAGGAGCTCATGCCACAGACATACATTAACTTCTGCACCATCAAACTTAAATGCCTCTTAGACTAACTCAAGGTTATACATGTTTTTAATTCGAAAAAATAGACAATATTCTTTCCACTTTAACTTAGCTTTTGGTATGAAGATTTGTCTCGAGCCTCTCTCATCCAACACTTGCTCACCCATAACGTTTAGTACTAAAACCTCAACCCTCTCTACTATAACATATGACCCTTCCTCGTCTATATAGTATCTTATTGGGGATTGTTAGACATTCCCCCTATGCACCCTCAGAGGCCCCAACAGAGAATCCTTGTAAGATCTTTGGTTCCTCATCTTCGAGATGCCTTGTTTTCAATTGACAACCTCTCTAATAACTTTTTTTTTGTGATGGTGTACTTCTCTTAGCAAAATAGACCCTCATATGGTAACCATCCACGAGTCATCTATTTTCTTTCAAGGTTACTTCCATTACCTCTGAATCACGTTCAAACTTGATAAAAGCGAAAGTTGTATACTCGTAACTCTTTAAAAGAGTTATCTTTTAGGACTTTTTAACTAGGTTAAGCTTGAACTTTAGCATCATTAGGATCATTTTAGGTTTATTTTATCATATATTACAACATTTACACATTGGAAGTGAATTTATATATTGTTAGTTATTTTATAATATTTTGTTACAATTTGGTACGCTGATATTGTAACATTATTGATGATGTAGATGTTGTTGTGCACTGATGTTGAGCTATATTTCTGTGTCGATGCTGCAGCAACTGGTGACTCGACAAACAACTATAGAAAATTATGGAATCAGACAGTTGTCTAATACAGTTGTTAAATGGCTGAAAATATATGAAAAATCATATTTTTCCTATTAGTAAATGCTTTGACCTTTAGGAATTATAAATAAGGCCCCCTTTCACACTTCTTCAATATTTCTTCATTTTTATTTTATTTTCTTCTTTCCTCCATCATCCACAGAGATCTGAATATATCGAGGAATGTAGCAGTAGTTGAGGAGTAACAACGACGTGTAACAGTGTTGGCCATTTACAGTTCAAGCTTTCTATAGTGCTTTTTCTTGAAAAAAATGAAGAACTTTGTTAAGTTTGGATGATTTATTTTTATGGAGTTGCTTGAATTCAAATATAAGGAGTTTGATAAAATGTTTGTTTTATGATTTTTGCTTGAAATGATACTTTTATGTGCTAGAACTTTATTTGATATTTTGAGAAATAGAAATATATTATTGTATGTCAATCTTGGTTATTTTTAGAGATGAAATTATTGAGGTTGCATGCTACTTATGTATAGCATCGATATTTATGAAAGTGAGTTTAAGTATATGGAGATGTATGCTATCGATTTTCGTTGATTTGTCAATGGATTGATTAATGAAGTAAGTAAAAATTCATTTCTATTGGATAAGTGTTTAATTCATGAAAAGGGATTAATGTGTTAATTTTTGCACGACACAGAATCGTATAGCTACAACACAATCATATTGGAAACTGCCAAATGACAACAACGTTCATTGGTCCAGTAGTCTATTTGCTCTCATGTTTACTACTGCATTTCTTGTCTTTAATATTCTTAATTTTTACCTTTGCTATAAACATATCAATATTTCATTCCAAACTTATCTTTTGCAAAGAATCAACAATTCTAATTTGTAATTCCTTACTCTCTGTGGGTTTGACATCCAAAACTCTCGTAGTTTCCACTTTATTACTTGAATAAGATACATATACTTGCCTTGAATGTTGTAATAATTTCGTAGCATCAAGTTTTTGGCGTCATTTTTGGGGAGTTATGGTATTACATTAGAATTGGTTTATCTGTTTTCACTAATTTTATTTTTTTGTAGCCCTTTTTTAGTGTAACGTTGTTGGTTCTTTACACGCAACAAAAAAAGGACTTAGAAGCGTTTGATCTCAAAATTGGGCAAACTATCTACCAAACATGGCTCAATATGGTGTTTTCCTTTAAAAAATATTCTGATGCTGCAGACTTACTATAACATCGATGACTACAAGATGTCAATCTGAAAGCATGTTATGTCGAGTTTAGATGATCTGAATCCTGACATAATTTGACCTTCCATCCATGCTACCCACTTTGAGCTGAAGTCTGTTATGTTCCAAATGCTGCAGTGTATGGGGCAATATAGTGGTTCATTAACTAAAGATCCTAGAGCATATTTGTGAGCATTCATGGAAGTATATGATTCATTCATTCAACAAGGATTTATTGAGAAAGCTTTGAAGCTAACGCTATTTCCTTGCGAGTTAAGCCAAGGTGTGGCTTAACTCGTTGTTGCCTGAAGCTATATCATCATGGAACGAGCTTGATCAAAAGTTTTTGCTACGATTTAATCCTCCCAACATGAATGCGAGAATGAGGAATGAAATCACATCTTTCAAGCAATTAGAGAATGAAAATGTGTGTGAAGCTTGGGAGTAATTTAAAGATTTGCTGCGTTAATGCCTTATGTATGGTTTTCGGCATTTGACATAAATGGAAATATTCTATAATGGTCTTGACATGCAAACAATAATGGTTGTAAATGCTTCTACTAATGGATCATTACTGGACAAGTCTTACAACCAAGCTTATGACATCCTTGAAAGGATCTCAAACAATGACTACCAACATCTTAACACAAGGATAATATCGGGGAGACGCGTTGCTATAGCAATGGATAATGATGTTATCAACAAAATGGCCTAAGAGATTAAAACATTGATTGAGATGGTGATGAAGTTGCAACAACCTAGATGTATGAATGAAGTTAAATCAACATCCATTATTACTTGTGTTTATTGTGGTGACAATCATAATTTTGAGGAATGTCATCAAAATCCTGATTCTGTGTATTTCACGAGGAACTATAATAAGAACGATAACACTTACAACTATGAGAACACCTACAATATAAACTATAAGAATCACTTTGATCTGCCATATAGAAGTTAGGATACAGTCTACCCTAATGAAGCTTTGAATCCATATTTTGATAATACACAACCACAACATTATTCGCAGAAACAGTATGTGCAACAACAATCAATGTTACTAGATCAACACACGTATCACCCTATACTGCAACAACCAGAAGAGCTATCAAGATCAGACTTTTAACCAAGATTCAACATTGACATCACTTGAGTCTCTACTGATGGAGCACATCTCAAGGAATGATGTTATCATTCAAATTCAGACAACATCGTTGAGAGCATTAGAGAATTGAATGTGACAGTTGATCAATGCTATGAACATCATACTGTAACAAGCATTGCCAAGTGACACTAATGTTACTTTTAACCAGCATTGCAAAGTCGTAACAACGAGAAGTAGATTCCAACTTGGGAAAAATGATGAGCATAAAAGGAAAGAAAATTAAATGTCTAAACCGCAACATAAAGACAAAGAACAGAAAAAGATGATTGAGTCACCAACATTTGATGTTGTGACAAAGGATATTGGCCAGTTACCAAGTCCAAGTCATTGCCACCATCAATGCAAATAAAACTGCCACATGTAATGCCACCACCTTCATTCCCTCAATGATTTCAAAACACCTAGGAGGACCAATAATTTAAAAAGTCCCTTAATGTGCTGAAGAAATTAAGTATCAACATCCCATTGATTGATGCCTTAGAAAAAATGTCGAACCATGCCAAATTCACAAAAGAAGTGTTTTCCAATAAACATAGCATTGGCAAGTTCAAAATCGTTGCACTCATTGAAGGGTGTAACGCCGTGGTCACGAGCAGATTGCGATCGAAGTTAAAGAATCTAAAGAGATTTATTATTCCTTGCACTATTGGCAATCAATTCATTTCTAGAGTATTGTGTGATTTGGGTTCCAGCATTAACTTAATGTCTTTGTCTATTTTCAGGACATTTGGGATTAAAGCAACACACATAGATATTGTTATGTTGTTAGCATTATTGATGGAATAATGCAAGCACGCGTGGATGAATGTTGAAGCATGTATAATGGGCATAGGGTGAAACATTATGGTTGCAATATACCCCAACACATTGCCTCGATTTGGTTCTATGAACTCAAGACCGACTAGTTTATATTTTATTTTTTCATTTTTTTAGATTTTGTTATTTTATTAATTTTCTTTTCTTTTTCTTTTGAGGTCATGCTTTCACATTGATCAGCGCACCATCACCCATCACATGTTGCCTTTGCTTCACAATATCAACTAAAGTTACAGACATCCATTGTTGTAGCATCATTTGCCAATAAGAATAATAATACAATTGAAAGAGAAGACATCAACAAAGAAGACTCATCCAACGTTTTCCAGCCTAAGAAAGACTCGCTAGGGGAGTATTGCTTCACTTCTCCCATTCACTTTTATTCACGTTTTTATTATTTTTTGTTGTTGCATGCATTAAGGACAACACACATCTTATGTTTGAGGGTGTGTTGTCCATTTGTATTGTTTATATTGTATCATTCATTTATGTTGTTCACATTTGAATTTGTCATATTATATTTGTTTATTTGATGTGTGCACAATTGTTCATATTGTTTAGAGCATTTAGGAAATTTCATATGTAGTGTTGCATGTATAATGTTGCTAGATTAATGAAGTTTTTTATGAATTTTTTATTATACTCGATAATGAACAATTAGTTGTGAAATGTTTAGATACTTGTTAGGATTAGGATCCATAGAAACCCTTTTAAACAATAGGTGTATGTTCTCAATACTTAGAGACATTAGAAATTTTTCACCTTTAAATCACATATATTTATTAGTTGTTCTACCAATTTAAAAAATGATGAGAAAATTAAATTTATATTAATTAAAGACATATGCTATGCTTCCATAAGGCTAAAATGCTTCATTTTAGCTTGAGAAATGGATCATTTTGCTCTCGTTGTCCACAAACACTAAGTACCCTCTAGATGACACTCTAATCCTTTTGGATATTATCCTTCAAGCTCCTTCTGCCATCTCCCGCCCTCTCACCTCTTGTACTTCCACTTCTCGCTCTCATGTGTGTTGACATGTGTTTAAAACCTCTGAAAAACTAAATTTATATTAATTAAATTAATATATCATTTAATAAAATTAACATATGTATATAGTATCTAAATTTTAATCTAATAAAATTAATAAATAATAAATAAATCATTTAATAAAATTAATATTATTACAGAAAGTGAATTTATTAATCTAATGATTATAATTAATGATTTGTTTTAAATTGTGTAGAATTATTTTAATTAATTTTATCAATCATAAGTTATTAATTTAATAGAACTTTTTGAGTATATTTATAGATTACGATTTATATATATATAAAAGAAGTAAACACATTAATTTAATAAGCATGGTTTATCATGTAATTTTAATTATGAAGATGTATTTTATCATACATAATATTATAAATTTAAAACCTCATAACTTCATCAATTGTAACTTACAAGTTAGGTAAATACAAAGTGAGGTAAATGCTAGATCAATTCAATAACAAGTTAGACCATTTACAAGTTGAATAAATTATAGGTCAGGTTCATAACAGATCAAGTTGATAACAAGTTGGGTAATGTCAGTTATTTAATAGGTTGATCTTGAGTTCGAGTTCATATCTGATTATCATATTATAGGTTCAATTCGGGTTCAGGTCATTCTCAAGTTAGGTACAGATCTAGAATTTTCAGATCCAATTTGGGTTCATATCAACTCCAACTCTAATTTGAATCAATTTCGAATCACCATTATCTGAGATCAAAAATAATTTTAACTCAAGTCGATTTCAATCAATTTTACACGTTAGATCAATTTTTTATATCCCTAAATATAATGGATGAGTCTACAATGAGTGACATTCATTGAAATGCACCACTAATGACATGCATTGAAATGCACCACTAATGACATGCATTGAAATTATAAAATAGGATAAAATTCATAAATAATTACAAATGTTTTTAAATTGATTTTATTTAGCATTGAATTTTTAGAAGTCACAAAATAGACATTAAATTTTAAACGTTGTTAAAAATAAATAACAATCCTTAAATATTCTTAAAGAATGACATACATACTAAATTAATTTAAAAAAATAACTTATTTATCCCTTCAATTATAAATACAATTTCATTTTTAATATTTTTTTAAAGTTTTTAAGTAATAATTCTAAAACAATTAGAATTTTTTAAAAATATATGGAAATAAATTATTTTTAAAAACTAAAAAATATTTTCAAAAATTTCAATTATCAAGCAATGAAATTAAGTTTTATTAAGTGAAAATAATTTTATAACTAATTATTTATTTAACTGTTGTTGTATTTGTAAAATAAAAAAACATTTATAATATTTGACGTCCGAAAATTTATATTATCAAATAATAAATTTAATTTTTTATTAATGATGTGATTTAAGAATTTAAATTTTATTTTAAAAAACTTAATTTAATTTAAAATTCATACATTCATAATATTATAATATTATATCAAATAGTTTTTAATTTATATAATATAAATTTAATATTTATAATATAAAATTAAAAGATGATATTTATTTTATCAATATTTATTTTATTTTCAATTCAATGAACCTAATAAAAATTATTTCAATTACAATTAAGTGTAAAATTAAATTTTAGTTATAATTAAAAAGTCAAATAAGATATTTCTTTATGATTTTGTGTCTATTTTGTAATAAAATAAAATTTTAATATTTATTATTTAAATTTTTAAAATTTAAATGTTCAAAAATTAATTTTAATATAATTCAATAATTATTTGTAAATTTTACTCTATAAAATTAATGTGAATTGCGAATGGCTTGCATTCTAAAATTTTTCCTAATATAATTTACAGATTATAGAACGGAGAGTGTGTACCATTTTTTTCATGTAAGAACCGCGTTTTCACAATTGGCTGAGCTGTCTGAGGAATGAAAGCTTTTGCTTAGCGACACCACTAGTGGTGCCCTTTAGCAATCCAACGGCCACCTATCTCAAATTTAGCTTTCCACGTAAGCACGGGAAAACCTTTTTTCTCAATTCACACGTCATAAGTTTGAGATGAAGCGGGGGCGCCCGAATCAATTCTGGAACAAACCACATAAAGCGATTCATTAGACAGTGAGAAAGTTTGAACTTTGAATAATAAATTACATTACAAAAAGAAGGAAAGATGTACTCAGCCCTATATATCTATCTATCTCTCTCTCTCTCTCTCTCTATATATATATAAAATCCTTCTCTCCTCTTTGTTTTCATTGTATTTCCTAAAGTTTTGCAGTTTGCAAAAGCATGAGTGACCCCAAGTATGCTTATCCCTACCCTGCTCAAGGTACTCTTTTTTCTCTGCTTGTATGTTCATTTTCCTTTAGCTTTTACCCTATTCAAGTTGCTTTATCTCAGTTTTTGTATTTATGGCCACAGTTTCTCTCCAAAACTTTAAGATTTTGAAGCTTTTATTTGTAAAGTTGTAGCCTTTACATTTTTGCATGCTCTGTTGTTAATGTTCATGGGCATGGGATTCTAAGTTGGAGTTATATATTTTTTAATTCCTTGAGAGAAAGGGGAAATTAGTGAGAGTTGTGTTTTCCCTTTGGATTAAAGGAAAGTTAAGGGTAGATTTTGTTTTAATTTTGGTTGGCAGGTTATTATCAAGGACCCCCAGTGATGGCACCACCACAATATGCCGCTCCACCACCAAGGAGACAGCCTGGTTTCCTTGAGGGCTGGTACATACTATTTTCTTCTTCCCATGCAGTGATGTTTCAATTAGTTTAGAGAGTTTTCTTCTAAATTATTGGTTATTTTGCAGACTTGCAGCTTTGTGTTGCTGCTGCCTCATTGATGAGTGTTGCTGTGATCCTTCCATCATCTACATCAGCTGATAATAAATCTCTGTAATATCACTGCATCTGTATTACTAATAAACCCTGATTTAATTCTCTGTGGTTGTGTTGTGGTTTGTTGAGATAACAGAAACTGTGTATGCACGTGAGCTAGAGTGCTCATGCATACTATGCATGTAAACATGCATGAGCACTGTATGATGGAGATGAATGGTGATAACCATCACAGGGAAGTTGTTAGGAAACGGTTTAGGTCTGTTAGGCTGTTAAGGTTGTTACAAATATGCTATAAATATAAGGTGTAAGATGAAGCAATGTGAGCTGATATCAATAAGAAATTACTTCTTTCTTCTTCTCGTTTCTGTTATATGATTTGCTGCAAGTTCTACTTTGCTTAACATGGTTTGACGAATATTCATCCCTGTAATTTAATTCTCTTAAGCAAGGAAGAAAATAATAATCGAATTTATTGTTGAGATTTACCTTCCAGTAATTATCATTTTCCTTTGCAAATAATTACAGTGCAGACTGCAGAGAAAGAATAGGGTTTTATTTTTTATGCAATCAAAGAGGAAAGAAGTGGTTAATGAAAAAGACAGCGGTGGTTCAGTTTTATCCAGTTGTAAACGATTCAAAGCACTCAACTATTTGGTCCCAAGATGAGGACTAAAACGTCAAAATGAAAATGATGTATTATCAAATCACTTGAAATGTAAATGATTTAAGTGAAGTGAACCAAATTCTAGAAGAGAGGAGGGACTGCCAAAGAGAAAATCAAATTAAGCATAAACCTTGATTAATGTGTATATATATATATATTTAAATAGAATGGGGTTTTGAATTACATAAAGCGATATGCCTCCCATGGAAGTCTGATATTACTATTATTTACACGGAGGGCGTGGCCACTCGCCATGCATGCAAAGCATATTTGTGGTGAAGCTTAAGCTACGTAGAACTGCACAATTTCTCAAATTCCCTATTTATTATTAGCTCAGCCAGTTGGTGGTGGTGGTTGGATTGAGTGGCTCGATGTTTAGGCCTTTGTTTATGTATTAAAATGAATCAAAGATCGGTGACATGTACTAGTTCATAAAACCAAACATTCAAATAAAAACATAAAACTTTCTAAAATAATAAAAACATAAAACCTAACACCATTTAAGATTGTAATCAACCAATGGAACAGTTTTCAAGTGTATTGGAGTGGTTACGTATTACTTTTCATTCATGTAAAACATGTTTGAAGCTTTTCAGAATCATGAGACAATAAATTCCAAGAGAATACGTATGGGATAATTCACTTGAATTCACAATTAACAAGTACTTTAAGTTGTTTCACTACAACAAAATAGGTTTTTAGCGGCGTTTCTTTAAACGCCACTACTTATATTTTCTTTAGTGGCGTTTGTTCCTATTGAGTCAATCGAAAGGATGAAATAGCCAAGAGGGGGTGAATTGACAATTAAAAAATTGGTGGAAGCTTATGAGGAAAAATTAAACAGATGATCACAAGAATTTAGAGTGATTCGATTTTATCAACCAAAGTCTACATCCACTACATTGGCCATCCACACTAAGGATTTCCACAAATTCATTAATTTGTATCTACCTTTGAGGATAAGATGTAACCTTACAACTCCCTCAAGAATTATACCCCAAATTCTTGAGACACTCTCTCAAAGAGAAAATTATAAATTACAAACTTATAAAAACCTCACAAGGAATGTGTTTACACAATTCAAGAACAAATAAGAACACTTGAGAAATGAATAAAAATGAGTACAAGAAGTGTTCTTTGAAAGCAAAAAGAATATTGTAAGATTAATAATTTCATTTCATTTATTTTATTTTATTTTAGTGGAATTTAACATGGATCATTGGGTTTAAGATTTATTTTACATGTTAAATTGGGATCGTTAGATTAAATTGGAATTTTTGAAAAAATGCAAGGGCAAAGATGGAAACTAATAAAATATTAGTTAATGTTTGAATTTGATGATGTAGAAGGATGATGAAAGCATGATGTAGCATGGTAGTTTGTAATTATCATGATTTTTAAGGGTAAAGATGTCTTTTAGCATAAAATAAATTTTATATTTATTTTTATTAGTTTTTAAACAAGTGTCCAAAGATATTTCTTAGGGAATTTGTATTATTGGAATGTTTGAAATTAGTGATTGGTACTGGATTTAAGGTAAAATGGAAAAGGAGCACTTTGAATGAATTTGAAATATTGGGATGAATTCTAAAGAAATACTTATTAGTGGTTAAATGTGAAATGTTCTAAAGTGTTTTGAACTATTGTTAAGAACGAATACTTCAAAGACTAGAAATGGTTATTTGAAAAAGTTAAAGTTAGCATTGATCATAGAAAAGGGAATTTGTATCGAATATATATTAATTGTAGTTTTAGCAATTTTATGTTATTGTACGCCAATCATGTTAGTGAAGATACTAACATGTGCTTTGAAATGTGTATTTTGTGTAAATGACTTTCGTGTAGATTGTAACGATAATCAAAACGAGTCAAAAGTGAAGGAAAAACACGAGAGTGAAGGTTTATCAACATTACAAGTTTGATAGTGAGGCGTATAGGGTGACTGCATTCTTACTTATATTATTATATATGATATGAGGAAGACTTGCGATGAATAAACTTCGAATGGTTTGAAGGAAAAAAATATTTAAATCGTATTTTGATATATTATTCATATTAGTTTAACAAAAAGGTATTCAGATGATTTGGGTATAAATTACACAAAATATATATATATATATATATATATAATACTTTTTATTAATTGGTTTTATAGATGATTTCGGGTATGAACTTCCCAATGCACTTTTATATGATTTTTGATATGGTAGTATCTATGGATACTTCTGATAAATGAATAGTATATGATTTGATAAGAATGTCCACTATATGCATATTGAGTTGTCTGGTATAACTGGCATGCTATAGAGATGAAGTATAGCAACTGTATTATGTACTAGCATGTTTGATTCAATACATAGTCGTATGATATTGGACTATAATATTCTGAGAAAAGAATGTATGATACATCTGATTTTGGCATCATGATATTTTAAATTATGGTACAATCATATTGTGTTCTACAATTACCAATATATTTATCTAGCACTAAAAGTGTAATACGTGTATGTTCGTCTGATTTGTGTACTATGCATTCTCATCCATTGGACTATGTTTCATATTAAACTGAAAAATGTTAGTTTACTGATTCATTGAAAGTAAAACTTTCATTGAATAATTAGATATGAGAATATGTGCTTATGTAACAATTGTTATATATAGGTTCTGAAGAAAGAAAAAATTTAATAAACCTGTTTATATATTCTTATAAGATATTTTCTGTAAAATAATTCTATGCTATTTCTATTATGATATGTTTCATTACTCGTTTATAATATCTCACTAAGTTATACTTAATGTGTTATTGTTTCATGTGTAGGTATAGGAAAGGAAAAAGTTGCGGAGTGAAGAGCATAGTGGGCATCACTTTTTGTGAAATCAGATCTACCTATAGTATTAATAAGAATAGTAGTTATAAAAATGGTTAGCTGCACTGATAAGATTAGTTATAAAAATGGTTTTGTAATATTAAATTAGTATTGTCTTAATATGGATAGTATCAGGTATAATTAGTAGTTTTAAAATAATAGTAGCTATTAAATTATATTTTATTTGCTATGAAGATGATTTTTAAATTAGGTAATTTTTATACGGTTTTGTTTATGTTATGAAATAGTATTAATTTGCCTAGTTACTGCTTGAAGTCATACTTGAATTGGAGATTAAAATATTTTATTTTTGTTTTACACAATTAAGAAATTTTGGTGAAAAGGGTTAGTTGAGTAAATTTTAAAGATACAAATTTTACCGAAAATCAATTAACAAATGTTTTAAATGGTTAATGTGACATTTTTAATTTATATTCGGATACGTATACGGGATAATAGTGCTACATTTGTTGGTATCCGATAATATAAAATCATCCAGATAAAGGATTTGACCCTCGAAGGAGCTAATTCGATCTAAACCACCTTTTTCGGTTGAAATTGGAAGAAAAATGTGGAAACAATAGAACTCCGACCTATTTAACTGAATAGGCTCCATCATTGTTTCCATTTCATTTAACCCAGTCCTGATCCAGACCAAGGCCAGTAAAGTTAGCAATTAGTCACCCTAGATATTTACGTTGGATATCCCATTCCAAGACATACCCATTTTTGAACTGAAGTTTGCGATGACTCCAACCTTATTCATTGCTATTAGTCACCCTAGACATTTGCCATTAAGCCCTCTCTTCATGCCTAAGTTCCTTCTATAGATTGCTTCGCAGAGTGGAAATTTCAGACGTGGTATTAGCATCATCTACTCCCAGCTGTTTCCTTTCCAGCGATTGAATCGAGGCCTTCAAGACAGAAATTGATATAGACGAGTCAAAGTTTTTAAGTTTCACCCAATCTAAATAGACCCTTTAGTATTTTTTTAGAGTAAACTACATGGGAGACCACCAAACTATAGTCAAAAGTCAATGTGACCACCGAACTATTTTTTGTCTCAATCAGACCACAAAACTATTTAATTGATTCAATCAAACCACCGGCCGTTAATTTTTAACAGAGTTGGTGACATGTTCATTAATAAAATTGGAATAATTATATATTTGGTCCTTAATATTTACATATTCTATTAATTTAGTAATTATTTTAATTCAATTAAATAAATTTAATTATCCAATTAGAACATGACATGTGTCAATACATGATTAGAATGTTTTATTTATTAATTTTAATTATTTAATTAAATTATTTTTTAACCAATCCCAATTGAAATAGAAAATAGAAGAACAAAGATGCACCCAATGAGATTCAAACCTGCATCTAAGGGGGAGAGGAGTAACTAGGAGCCCAAACCACTAGGCCAGAAGTCCCCAATGGTTTTAACTTAAAACAATTTACATTTGACTTGTAAAAGTTTATTAATGATAAAAAATTAAATAAATTATTTGTTTAAATAAATTATTGTTTCTTTAACCGTTAATCG